TCCCTCCTTAGATGCATTAATCTGTCCTCCAGCTCAAATGTTAAAAATCTTGGTGTTATTTTTGATCAGAACATGTCTTTTATCCCCCACATTAAAAACGTTACTAGAACCTCCTTCTTCCACCTGCGTAATATCACTAACATTAGAAACATCTGATCTAAAAATGATGCAGAAAAACTGGTCCATTCATTTGTCACGTCTAGACTGGACTATTGCAATGGTTTATTATCTGGGTGTCCAAATACTTCTTTAAAACGTCTTCAGTTGATCCAAAATGCTGCTGCCAGAGTCTTAACTGGAGTTACTGGGAGAGATCATATTTCTCCAGTTTTAGTTTCTCTCCATTGGCTCCCTGTCAAATCCAGAATAGAATTCAAAATCTTACTTCTAATCTACAAAGCTCTCAACAACCTGGCTCCATCTTATATTCCAGATCTTATTGTTCCATATTTTCCTAACAGAGCACTTCGCTCTCAGACTGCAGGTTTACTTGTGGTTCCTAGAGTTTCCAAAAGCAGAATGGGAGGAAGATCTTTCAGTTATCAGGCTCCTCTCTTGTGGAACCAACATCCAGTTTCTGTCCGTGAGGCTGACACATTGTCCAGTTTTAAGACTGGGATTAAGACTTTACTTTTTTTGTTGTTTATATAAATCCTATAGTTAGGGTCGGCTTGGGTTTCCTGAGCTGTCCCTTAGTTATGCTGCTATAGGCTTAGACTGCTGGAGGACAAACTGACCACAACTTTCACTCTGCTACTGTCTTCACTTACTCTACTCAACCTGTTTTGTATTTGTAATTGTTTTTTCTATCCTTAACGTGTTATTTTGTCTTTCAGATACACCTGGACCTGGACCTGGACCTGGACCTGGACCTACCATTCTGTGTTCGTCTGTCTCTCCTTCCTGTCCTCTCAACCAGCCGGTCAAAGCAGATGGCCGCTTGTCCTGAGTCTGGTTCTGCTGGAGGTTTCTTCCTGTTAAAAGAGAGTTTTTCTTTCCACTGTTGCCACTGTGCTTGCTCAGGATGGGAGACTGCAATTAAGCCAAGATTCAACTTGTCTGCTGGATTCCTTAGATAGAGAACTTTACTAATTGTCTTTTATGTGAATGTTCCTGTAAAGTCCCTGAGACAACTTTGTTGTGATATAGTGCTATATAAATAAACTGGATTGAATTGAGCTGTGATTTTTTTTATATAGTGGTACATCGTATGACATGAACAGAATTTACAAAACCAATCTAAAACTCCTTCCACAGACGACAATAGGATTTCAGCTATTTGAGCGACAAAACCCAGCGTTTTCTGCAACGCCGTAACTCCGATGTAGGCAGCAAGAAACATCAAAGTTTAAACGAGTCACAGATGTTTGGACTTTAAAAGACTAATCAGGCATTAATTTTAATAGTTTTTACTCAGTAAGTTGAAGTTTTGTGAATTTATTTTTTCCAGATTTGATCAAGTAACATTTAACTCTAAATGTCACATTAACTTTAGAACTGTTTCAACTTGTCAACGTTTCTACAAACAAACTTTTCTTGGCCCTAACTTGACACGTTGTACAGTTTATACATCTAAACAGGCAGTTTTGTTTCCTCTCACTCAGTGCGTTTCAAGAAAACGTGGTTTTCGTGCAGAGTCGCACATCCAAACTCTCATGGACTTCGCTTGGACCAAAGTTCAGAATTTTCTCTGCGTTACTGGAAAACAAAAGGACAGTTTTAACATATCTTCTGAAAAGCTTGCCTTTATACCCGACTTGACTACTGTAACACACTGGGGTCAGTCAAGTCTCTTTTCACGTCTCCAGCTCGTCCAAACTGCTGCAGCTTGGCTCTTAACTGGAACTCACAGCTTTGAGCACATTAGTCCAGTTCTGTCCTCCCTTCACTGGCTCTCTGTCCGTACTAGAATAGATAAAGTTCCTAAATGGCCTCACACCACTTTATTTCTCTGAACTATCGGAACTGTACGTTCCCTCTCTGGCCCTGAAATCATCTCATCAGCAGCTTTTGGTTGTTCCAAAAACACGATTGAAGCTCAGAGATCGGGCTTTTTCAGTCGTGGGCCCAAAACTCTGGAACAGCCTGCCCCCGGTGGTTAATTTGAGCCGGATCCTGCCGGAACAAGATCCGTGAACTCTCTCATTTTGACCCGTTCTGTTCCGGCAACTCTTTGTTCGGATCTGGCAACTCTGCCCCTAAAAGTTCAAGGTCATTGCAGATTTTTATTTTGATTATTAAAAATACAGCGAGAGGAGACGTTGCCCTCAGCCCGGTGGACCCAGTCTGTGGATGTTGCAGCCTCAGCAGGAGAGGAGCCTCTAGGCGGGAGGGGTGAGGACGGAGGGACAGATGGTTACATCACGCACAGAGGTTCTGTGCAGAGTCCTTGTCTCCTCCTCTTCAAATATTGTCCCTACTCATCAGGGCTACGCACTGAAAAACCCCCTCTCCTCCTCTCAGACCCCGAAACAGAAACGATCATTTATTCAACAGAATAAATAAATGCCCTGTAGACCGTGCACGTCGTGGACAGTGCACGTTACGCACAGAAACGTCTCCAGACAGCTCTAGCACGCACAACATCGGCAGGTGTCTGAACTCCTGCTACATTTCAGACATAATAAATAAAAAAAAAGCTTACTGTAAAAAATCAATTAAAAATACTAAAAGAGAGAAATGTTTGATGTTATTCACATTATACGTCACGTTTCAAAAATACGGCGCTAATTTGTCCAAATAACAACGGCGATAAAATGTAAAAAATAAAACCACTCCAGTTTATCCTGATGCATGCTCAACAGTCCACTTTACTTTAATTAAAAATGGATGGATGGATGGATGGATGGATGGATGGATGGATGGATGGATGGATGGATGGATGGATGGATGGATGGATGGATGGATGGATGGATGGATGGATGGATGGATGGATGGTCCTTAGCTGGACAACTGAGAATTGAAGCCTTCAGGTGCTTCAAACGGTGCCACGAGACTGGATCAGGAGGACTGAGTTCAGCTCAGAACCGTGAAGTGAGGGGGGGGGAGGACACCTGACACAGTCGGAGTTGCTCTAATTCACACACAACCTGCTGTTCTTCTCTAAAATAGTAATTGTTTTAAGTGTTTACAAATGTAGGTAAATGTTGATGTATAACAACCCGTTAAAATACACCAAAATGCAGGAAATGGCATCTCTGTTCAAATTTTTCTGTGAGAGGACCCACAAACATCCCCCCCCCACCCCCACCCCCCACGCCTGCCCGCTGTTCCGGCATCAGTCAGTTTACAAATTAAGACATGGACAGGCCACTTTACTTCCTGTGTTCAAACCTCTGTTAAAAACATCTGTTTGCATGTTCTCTCTGTGGGTTTTCTCCAGTTTCCTCCCACAGACCAGAAACATGCAGGTTAGACTGACTGGTAACTCTAAATTGTCTCGAGGTGAGAGAGTGAATGGTTGTTTGTCTCGTTTGTCTCCATGTGTCCCTGTGATGGACTGGAGACCATGTCCAGGCTGTCCCCCGCCTCTCACACAGTGACTGCTGGACATGGGCACTGCAACACCAAATTAAATAAGTGGGTAAAGATAATGGATGAATGTTTGCTCTGAAATTTACAGTTGATTTTGTATTTTTATGTGTTTTGTCTTTAATGCTTTAAATTTACTATTTACTTCTGTCATTAGTGTTATTTTATCCATTAATTTTACTCTCATTTATCTTATTATTAAGCACTTTGGTAACAGAGCAAATGTGCTTCATAAATAAAGTCGACATCATCGAAAAAAAATAAAACAGACACAAAAACTGATGTGACTTCAAAAACGCCTCTGACTCACACAGTGAAGGTTTTATTCTAATAAAATGTATTGACTGAGTGTTCGGCCATATCTGTAAGTATGGCTAGTTTTTTTTTTTGTTAGCAAAATATCTCATGAACCAGTCGACAGGTTTTAATAAAACTTGCAAAAAACAAACCGCAGGATCCAAATCCAGATAAGATGGCTGCCACAGCAAACGACAAACGCTCGTAACACGTCCAGTTTTATGAGCACAACTTTGGTGTGATTCAAACGCATGTTTCAAGTGAAACAACCTGAGCGACATCTTTGACATTACCTGCCAATTCAATTCAATCCAGTTTATTCATATAGCTCCAAATCACAACAAAGTTGTCTCAGGGACTTTACAGGAACATTCACATAAAAGCCAATTAGTAAAGTTCTCTATCTAAGGAATCCAGCAGACAAGTTGAATCTTGGCTTCGCTGCAGTCTCCCATCCTGAGCAAGCACAGTGGAGACAGTGGAAAGAAAAACTCCCTTTTAACAGGAAGAAACCTCCAGCAGAACCAGGCTCAGGACAAGAGACCATCTGCTTTGACCGGCTGGTTTGAGTTAGTCAACCCTGTTTGTCTGTTAGCAAAATATCTCATCCACCACTGAACAAATCATAGTAAAGCTCACAGATGAACTGACACCTTTTGAAGTGATCACACCTGAACCACAGCCAAGACAAAACGGGCAACGATCCGGTGCGTCGAGCCTGGACTGGGCACAGGTTTGGTGTGGGAGCTGCTGAGCTTCATCCTCAACACATTCTCTGCAGACTCAAACATCTGAGCAGATGGTTGGAACTGCTGTTTCTCATCAGAAGGTGTGTAGTTGAAACTTTTATCAGAAAGGCGGGAAGCCTCACTAATGGATGTTAGGCCTTTAATTTCTAGTCTGTTTGTGTCCTATTAGGAAAAAGTCAGGGAGTGACAGACCACCTGTGTGGTTGCCATGGCGACCCAAATGAGCCAGTGGCAGCAGCTTGGACTTCTTTTGATGGCGGTTTTCTGCACTTCTTATAGTTTGTACATTAAAACTTTAGCAGCTTATCCTAGAAAATGTTGTATTAAAGAAATATGAGTTCTGGTCTGACTTTTATGGGCCGAAGGGACAAGAGTCCAGCTGTTTACAGCTGTCATGTGTCAGCTGTGCGTCCTCTCCCTCACCTCTTTGCTTTTTGCTGAATTCCCTCCGTTCGGGAGTCCCTTCCTTGCGGACGCTCCGGGGATGTCCTGCCTCTTCTCTGGCTCCATTTTTCTCCACAACGTTGTGTCAAAGTCTTCCACTGAACTTCAGGAACTCTTCTCAAAGCAGTTTCCAAACTTCCAGGCGACGCTTCTACGGCCCACAGAAGGTGGAACAAGACACAGAACGTGTAATCAATCCAACTTTTTTCTTCTACAGCGCGTCCATCTTCTGGGCTCCACATCAGATGTCCTCTCTGCTGCCGACATCCATCCAGCTGTCTGTGATCTGCGCCGAGAACGAGACCTGCGCTGCGTTCACTGACTGCAAAACAAAACGACGTGTCCGCCTTTTAAACAGAAAATCTGTCAAACTAATCATTCCTAACAGGCAAAAAGAATAAAAACAGAACATGTAATCATTGTTCTACTTAAATGACTTTTGAAATTGGATCAACTACATGTTGCCTTCGAATCGCTTTGCATTCAATCAGTTTGTGGAACTATGGTTTATTTTCCGAGGTTAATTTGAGAACGTAAATGCAGCATCGGGTGTCACGTGATTTACAGCAGCCGCATGACAGGAAACGAAGATGCTCAAACAAATAAAGCATTTAAAAAGCAATTATGCTATTGTTTTTATTTCTATTATAAATGTGACGTCGTTGTTTTGTTTTATTGTTAGTTTGTTTAGTACTGAGCCACTCCCGGGCTCTGTAGTTTAGAAATATTTAAGAAGTTTTACTTTTATTACACCATGATTAATAATTACTGCCATTCTTTAAAGTTATGCTTGTTTGAATTTTGTGTCTAGTTGTTCATGCACAGACTGACAAGATATAAATCAACTCAATATTAAAATGAAATTAACATTTACTTAAAACATCCAAGGTAAAATTTTAAAGCAACAAACGATACATGCTTATTTTACAAATTGAGTTTTTAAAGTTGTGTAAACATTCCTCTGTTGTTTGTTGTTCCTGTTGGAAGTAACTGTTTCAGTGATGATCAAGTTCACAGAAAACTTCACCAGTGCCTTTTTCACAACTTGCTTTTTCTGCTGAGGTGCACGTGCGCCATCTAGAATCCAAAGTTAAAACAAATGATCTGAGTTGTTTTTATTCTTCCAAAATATGATGAAGTAAAAGAGGTCCTGGGCACAGCCTGAACGATGGACACGCTTTCAACAAAGTCACTGCTGTGTTTGCTGACAGTGAACTGGGCTTATAGATCCTGTTTTTAAAACAATTCTTATAAAATACCTGATTTAAAAAATAGTTTTTCGTAAGCGTCCATCAAGTTGTCTCTTTACATCTGCTGATTTCTGGCCTTTCATTTCAGCTGTGCCATCTTCTGACGTCAGAGATGATAAAATAGTTTAAATAGTTAGATTTTGTTAAACAGGAAGTGAAAAGTGACTCAAAGTTTACATCAATTAAATAAACCAACTATGGACGTTTTGTTTTCACAACATTAACAACAGTTGAGTTTTTATTGTTGATGCCATGCTGTACTAAAAGGCATTTATATATTTTATATATACATATATTTTAATTCTTTTGTCTGATCAAGGAGAACCTATTGTTCTGACTGAGCAGAGGAAAGTTCCTGTCTGCTCCAACAGGAAGTCCGACAGCAAAGCAGGAAGTGTTTTAGGTTCTGGAGATTAGATGTTATTCTCAGTAAACGCATCAGACTTGTTTTCTCAAAAGGGCATTAAAAACTTGTTTTTTTTAAAGACCTGTTTTATTCTCAGTAAAGTGTGCACGTCACTGCTGCTCCATCTTGTCGGATCATTTAAAGTTGTGGACCTGATTGTCTTGTTTACGGTCATCACTGACATGTTTCAGGTTTTACTCATGGTTATTTCAAAGTATGTTGTTTTAAAACATCTGGCTGCAGGAGCAGAGCGGCTGAACCTGCTCAGCTTCAGCTCACTGTTTATGGTGTTTCACACAAAGTCGACACCCGAATACAAAGAAATATCAAATAGCATTCAAGAACTTTCAGGTAAGAAAGTGCAAATAAAGCTTTGCTTATTTCACAGCTTTCATTGTGTTAAGTGCATTAAAAAAATAACACCAGAACCACAAATCTCACTGATTTATTTTTTTAAACGTATAAACATGAAACAGTCTCAGAGTAAAAATGGTGATTCAGCTAAGAAACGAACAGAAAACATATTTTTTGTTTTTATTTAAATTTAAGAAAAATCAGTCGTGCTTTCAGATTTCACCAAATCTAAAGTTTTTTCATCCATCCATCATCATCCATCCATCCATCCATCATCTTCCTCTTGTTCTGAAGTCGGTCTCGGGGGCAGCATCTTGAGCAGAGAGGTCCAGACATCTTTCCACAGCTTCTTCCAGCTCTTCCAGGGTGTTCCCAGACCAACCTGACATCGTCTCTCCAGCGTGTCCTGGGTCTCCCCCGGGGTCTCCCAGTCGGACATGCCCGAAGCACCTATAGGGAGGCGCCCAGGGAGCATCCTTACCAGATGTTTGAAACACCTCAACTGGCTCCTCTCCATGTGGAGGAGCAGCGGTTCTACTCTGAGTCTCCTGATAACTGAACTTCTCACCCCGTCTCTAAGGGAGAGTCCAGCTACCCTGCAGAGGAAACTCATTTCAACCCCCTGTATCCACGATCTCATTCTTTCAGTCACTACCCAGAGCTCATGACCACAGGTGAGGGGAGGAACATAGACCGACCAGTAAACAGAGAGCTTTGCCTTACAGCTCAGCTCTCTCTTCACCACAACGGACCGACACAGAGTCCACAATACTGCAGACACTGCACCAATCCGTCAATCTCACGTTCCATTCTTCCCTCACACATGAACAAAACCCCGAGATAGTTGAACTCCTCCACTTGAGGCAGAACCTCGACCTGAAGAGAACAATCCACCCTTTTCCGACTGAGGACCATGGCCTCAGATTTGGAGGTGATTCTCATCCCAGCCGCTTCACACTCGGCTGCGAACCGCTCCAGTGAGAGCTGAAGATCACGGCACGATGACGCCGACAGGAACACATCATCTGCAAACAGCAGGGATGGAATCCTGAGGCCACTGAACTGGAAACCCTCCACTTCCTGGCTGCACCGAGAAATTCTGTTCATGAAAGTGATGAACAGAATCTGTGACAACAGGCAGCCCTGATGGAGTCCAACTCCCGCCCTGACGGGGTCCGACTTACTACTGCGAACAAACTGTCGCACCGCTTGTATAGGGACCGAACAATTTTCTCTTTCATTCCTGTCAAAAGAACAGCTTGGTCTGCTGGAACAAACCCCTCAAACATCTTCCAAAGCTCATTTAAAATTAATAAATCAAACAACGTAACTGTCAGTCATCAGGAAATATAAACCAGATATCTAAAAACAAAACACTGTTCTCTAGTTCCATCTTCTTTCAGATGCTCTTCTTCAGGAGTCGCCACAGAGAACGATGAAGACTTGACAATTGTTTTTACACCAGATGTTCTTCCTGACTCAACCAGACACCGAGCTGCCACAGCCCTCTGTGTGGAGCAGAGAGCTGCTGCTATGGGGCGGATGGTGGGGGTCGGCCTTGCTCAAGGGCTCAGAGCGGAGGCAGGCGTGGGTGTTTCACCTTTCCCACCCACATTTTGATGTAGTTGGTCTGGGGAGTTGAACCAGCGATCTTCCATTCACAGGCCTACTTTCTCTAACCTCTGCACCACCACGCCTCAACTATTCAACTTTTAATCCTCAACTTTAGCCGAGTTAAAAACAAAACGAAGCAACAATATGAGGTGAAGCAAAAACAAGAAGACGTCACAAAAACACAGTACGGTAAATAAAAATGAAACTTTATGTGATTTGCTGCAGTTCTAGTCTTTCAAAACAAAAGCTTGAGTTACGTCTTCATGACAAACTGCTGCAGTTTACACACAATAAAAAGAGGACAAAAACAGACATTTTAAAATGCTCTGCATTTTTATATTTCTCATAGAATAACTTGTGATTGACCCAACATCTGTAAAATATTAGACCAAAAAATAAAGAGAGACTTGTTGGCGTGCGCCTCTGTGAACACCAGCACACCCATGGAAAAAGATCAGGTGTTCATATGGAGCATAACTTCAGGTATGAAAACCTGTTCCATGTTAAACTGCACATTATGTTGCAGATTTTAATTTGTAAAAACGGTTGAATGAGTTCACGGTCAGTCTTTAAGGGATAGATCAGATCTTTTGAAGTGGAGTTCTGGAAAACAAAAGATTGTGGGTAACTAGTGTCTTACCTGTTGTAGACAGAACTTTGAATGCCCTCAGTTTGGAGAAATATACGCTGCCTGGACAAAAATTAAAAAGTTGCCAACTTGATTTAACTAAACAAACAGATACGAGCCTCCTGTTGGATAATTACTGCATGGACGATTATCTTTCAGCTGCAACAAGTTATTTAACCCCAACTGGTGCAATGAGCTGCTTCTCATTTCTTAAACAACCATGTTGTGGTCGTGGGAAAGATGTCGGTCTGTTTGAGAAGGGTCAAATCATTGGCATCAAGCAGAGAGAACATCTAAGGAGATTGTAGAAACTACTAAAAATTGAGTTAAGAACTGTCCAACGCATTATTAAAAACTGGAAGGATAGTGGGGACCCATCGTCTTCGAGGAAGAAATGAAAATCCTGAATGATCATGATCGGCGATCACTGAAACGTTTGGTGAAATCAAACGGAAGAAAAACAACAGCAGCACTCAGGGCTGTTTAATAGTGAAAGTAAGAACATTTCCACACGCACAATGTGAAGGAACTCCAGGGATTGGGACTGAACAGCTGTTTAGCCTTAAGAAAACCACTAACCAGTGAGACTAACTGGGAAAAAGGCTTCAATTTGCTAGGGAGCATAAAGATTGGACTCTGGAGCAATGGAAGAAGGTCATGTGGTCTGATGAGTCCAGACTGACCCTGTTCCAGAGTGATGGTGCATCAGAGTAAGAAGAGAGGCAGGTGAAGTGATGCACCCATCATGACGAGTGTCGAGTCATCAATGAAAGATGTTGGTGAAAACTGAATGCAGCACTGGATGAAACAGATCTTGTGACATTGAAACAATGACACAGTGAATGCATGATGTCATCAAAACTAAAGGCGGACCAACGAAATATTAGTGTGCGACCTTTTTTTGGTGGCAACTGTTTTTTGGGGCCAAGCAGTGTATATTAAACATTTCAGACTAAGCTACTACCTTGTAAGCACAATAAACATTTGTAAAACGATTTATTTAGCATATATTATTGTAATTTATCACTGCATTATAAGTATCTACAACTAATATATCTTAAAAAATAGGTTTACAAATGCTTATTGTGCTCACAAGGTAGTTTGAAATGTTCATTATAACATCTCTAGATGAAACATGTGGCAGATTTGGCTCACTATTTGGCAAGAAATTGGTCAGTTTTGTCTCTGTGACCCTTAATTAATGCTTAACAAGCAGTTATTAATGATTTATAAAGTGTTTATAGAGGAATTAATAATGTCTCTATAAATTCCTGATGCATGCTCAATAATCCAGGTATAAAAATCTAAAAAAGTTAAGTCTTCAGAACGTTCAAAAACAAAAACTGTCAGCAGCAAAACTGGTTGATCCACTCTGAGAAGGTGCTATTTATAAGACTGAGCTGAATACAGCACCTCAGACTGAGGAAGTCTTTCGGATGAATAATGCAACATATCTACTTTTTCTTTTCCAACATTTTTCAGTCAGGTCATCTGGACAGTTTATTTTGTTGTGCTGAAACGTTTCACCTTCGATCCAGAAGACTTCATCACTGGATGATGTTGGATTTGTATACCTGGATTACTGAGCATGGACTTTGTTGGTTTTCTTTTGTTTTCGTTTTTCGAACATCCAGAGGACCAGACTTAACTTTTTTAGGTCCCTATAAACTATTTATTAGCAGCTATGAGGGGAGCCTTGTTGGAAAGTGGTACAGAAACCTCTTCCCCTCTAAGAGACTGACCACATTCGAACCCTCAATAAGAACCAAGCCACCTTATTAACAGCTGTCCGTGCTCTCCAGGGTCCAGTCTGTCCCTCCTGGTGGTTGTGTTGTTGCTCTGTTCAGTTAAGACAATCTGGGTATTAAGTACTATGTATGTGTGTGTGTGTGTGTGTGTGTGGGTGGGGGGGATACAGTATATATATATATTTTTTATAATTTCACCAAAGCTTAAAATTGTTAACTTAATAGTGTAGATCTTACATAAAGCAGTCTACTTTAGCTGTTGTTCTTGTTTAGTCGTGAGCAGCTGATAACAGAAGCTGGTGGAGCTGGTTCAGACACCTGGTAACAGGAAGCCTCCTGGACGCCTCACTGTGAGTTTGTCCAGACAGGTCCAACTGGAAAGAGACAGCCAGGAAGACCCGGGACACAGTAGAGACAAGATGTCTGTGTTGGTCTGGGAACGCCTTGGATTTCCCCCAGAAGAGCTAGAAGAGATGGCTGTGGGAGGAGATGTCTGGACCTCCCTGCTCAAGCTGCTGAAACCCACGACCCGATTCCAGAACATGCAGATGGATGGATGGATGGATGGATGGATGGATGGAGGACTCAACAGGAGACAGAGCTTTTCAGAATCAGACACCCGAGCCTGTTCCACACAGGCCAAACAAAGATAATGTTTTTTTTGTTTGTTAAGTTTTTTTTACTGGCTTATCTTCATCTGTTCCAGTTTATCGTCATCTTGTCATACACATGGATTGTCTGCGAAAACGATCAGTTACTGAGAGGAAATTGAAAAAACGCAGAGAAGAAAGAAACGAGAAGTTACGATGGTTTGGGGAAAGAATATTTCTCCACGCTAACAACACACGCTGTGGATATGGATGATTTCTGACTTTGACCTCCATCATTTCAGTCTTTTTATTAGAGCTGTGGAAGATGTTTTTATTATAAATGAAGAAAACGTTTCAGTTTAAAATCTCCATAGTGTAGCAGAGAGCTCAGGGTTTGAACCTGATTCAATCATTAGACTGATCTATTTAATGTCACTCTTCATTTCTTATATACAAAATCAAACGCACTCAAACAAACTCAAACATGCGTCTTATACTGTGACGAAGACAAAAAACAGGTTGATACATCCAAGGCACGTTCTGCGATACAAAGAGGTCAGAGGTCACGCTGCCTTCCAGTGCATCGTTTTGTTAAAGTGGGACGAGTTTCTGGCAGTGGGACATTCAAAATGCTACTTTTGTAAGAGGAGGGCAGTGGACGGTCTGCAGCCCGTTCATGTCTGCACTTTGACACGTTTACCAACAACGTTCAGGTTTTTCCTTTCTGAACAGCTGATGTCACGAAGGCTTTATGTGTGGAACGTAAACTGAAAACCTCTACTCGTTTAATCAAATAAAACAGATTTTCCTCTCGTCACAGGACAGCTCATAGAAGCTGCCTAATCTCATTGATTTGTTTTTTAGTTAACGTAAAAGATAAAACCTTATCTTCATTCTGTTAGCAAACAAAACATCAAACGTTTGGTAGGAAAAAGTCAAACTGAGCTCGTTTCATGTGAATTAGAGTTTAGAAATTAATATAACATACTGTACTACTCTTGTTTTTAGAACGTGATTGTACATTTGCACCCGCTTCGGACGCTATCATCCATTAAATGTCTGTTATTAGTTGTTATCATCCCCATAGGTAGCGTTCAGACTGCCCCTCCTCTACCTCCTAGTAGGTTTTAAAGGTACGTTAGTATCACTGATAATACAGGCACGTGGTTAAGTTAAGGCTCAAGGGTCAGAGGGTTAAGTTTAGGGTCAGTGGTCTGGGTCAGGTTTAGGAAAAGGGTAACTAAAATACACTTCCTGTTTTACATGCGAGCCGCGACACATTATCAACCATAAAAACATAACTTGAAACCTACGAGGAGGTAGGAGGGAACAGTCTGAACGCTACCTATGGGGATGATTAAAAACTAATAACGTCCATTTAATGGACTGATAACATCCGAAGCCGCTGACATTTCTACCTTCAGTATTTTAAGTTATTCCTCTTGTTTTGTGTGTGATTTGAAAGTAGCCTCAGGTTGGTGTTTAAAGGCTGATTTCTGGAAGAAAAAAGTGCAACGCAACGACTCACTAATTGGATAATTTCTTGTTAGACTAAACCTGGTTCTGATGAGCTCTTCAGGTTCGAACATTAAAAATATATGTAGATTGTTTTCTAACTTACAAAATATTTAAAGAGTCTGTCGTTTTGAAAAGAAGGTCATTGGACATGCAGACACGATCAGATTGGAAGTTAAGAAGTGACGTCACCTCTCGGCCAAACATTGACAAAGTTAACGATCAACGCAGTTCAGCACCATGGTCTGAAGTTAGTGCTGGTCCGACACTAAAAGCAGCTCAGACAGTGTGGCTTTGATTTTTTGGGAGTGTCAAGAGTAGAAGTCACTTCATGCCAGCACAATAATTTGAGGAGCAACCCTGATACTGTCCAGTGAAGAGCATCATGTTGCAACAAGTGTTTGACATTCATGATCTTTGACAGCATGGGACATCAGACGTAAACCAGTTCCTGTGGTTTTACAGTTTCTGACTAACTGAAAGACACAAACCTGGCCTGCAAACAAGCGTTCCTCGTGTCAGAGGAGTCTGGGCCTGGATCGGTTGGGTCTAACTGAGGAATAGGCTCCGATGTGGGTGACCAGGTTGGGCTCCACACTGTGGGACCGTTCTCCAGGAGTAGTCCTGGCCATCTGGTACAGAACAATGTCTTTTGCGTTGCCTTTGTAGCAGAATGAACCATCCAGATATTCCGCCACCCTAAGAGATGCTTTGCCAGGAAAAAGCATGGCTGGGGTGCAACACTCGGTGGCCGGGGAGACGGCGTAAAGCTGTGGGGAGATTCTCCGGGCCTCCAGAAGATAGTGCCTGCCCATCAGCTCTGCAGCAGCCATGAAATAAAGAGTGAAGAAGAGGAGGTGGCTGACTGACGGCCTGAAGGAGAAGGAGCAGGGATTCCAGTAAGAGAAGGTAAGGAGGAGCATCGTTGCTGCGAACAGCCCGAGCCCAATCCACTCCAGGATACGGTACGGCTCGGGATTCCAGTAGCGCTGCAGCCTTTCAGGGTGGTACAGCTTGATGTAAAGAGTGTGGAGAGCAAAACGACGAGCCAGCAGGTCCTTAACAACCGAGAAGAAGTCCTCTCTTGGCAGAGCATCATCCTCCAGAACGACCATGTTTTTGGGCTGAACCAGCTCCAATCCCTTGCGAAGACAGAAGACGTAATCTCGCTTCTCCCTCTCGAAGGTGTTGATCTGCCCCCAGTTGTTCTGCCGCTCTTGAGTTGCGGGCCGGACCACCTTAAAGTGGGGTTCCAGCAGCTTGGCGTCTGGGTTCTCCAAAGGATTGCTTTCCACGTCACAGAGTAGCACCTCGGCGCATCGCCGCTCCCCACAGCTCCGCACAATGCTGCTCAGCCGCCGCATCACCTGGAGCAGGTAGTGGAAGTCCTGCCCGTCGTACCGCCTGGCTGTCACCACGGTAACCAGCAGCTCAGGATGCTGGGCAACGTCACTGAATCTGAAGGACGCCGAGGCGGAGCGGTTCTGCCAGAAGCGCAGAGCATCCTGACCTCGCTCAAGGCTCTCCTTCAGGGCGCTCTCGCTCTTTGCATCCAGGTACATGGACTTCCCGAAGTAGTAGGAGTACAGCAGGCGATGGCAGCACAAAGGAAGGACGACGCAGAACGTGATGACAGACAGGGTGAGGGCCTGAGTGAGAGGGCTGGACCATCGTAGACGCTGACTGACGAAGGCTTTCCATTGAGGCATTGATGAAAGACCCGAGAGGAACCTGGCAACCAACAACAAACACTTTGAGGTCCAGTCAGCCGTGTTAGCTACACATTTACAGCCGTTTGCTTTGAGGCTCCAACAACAAGGAAATGGGAGAAGTTTGGTGTAACCTGATAGCTCTGGAACAAACAGTCAGCTGTTGGCACAAAGTCTTCGTCCTGAAGCAGAGAAGCAGCTTGTTGCTCTGGAGTCTGTAGAAAGAGACAAGTTGTTTTACTTAGTAATCAGCTGTTCAGCATAATAACCACATAGTTGACCATGTCACGAGAAACAAAGATTATACGGTTTAAAAGGTCGATCCGAGCCGCTTCAAGCTTCTAAAGTCAGGAAGCCACGTCAAACTGGGATGACTTCAAAAGTTAAAAATCAGTGTTAGAATGGTTCCTTTCTAAAGGTTTGATTGAAATCTGTCCAGTGGCTCATGAGATATTTTACTAACAAACAGAAATTGTTTTACGCTTTGGTCTCGGCTCCATTCAGCAGTTAACTTGGTCAGAAATAAACCGTTCCTCCAAACGGAGGTCAAACTTTGTAACTTTTTCATAAAAACATCAGTTCAAACTAGCCAAAATATCCCTTTAAACTTATTAAGAGAGAGGAATGTAAAATAAAAATTAATAAACACGTATTGTATAGCTACATGGTTCACAGGGAGTGGTGGTGCAGAGGTTAGAGAAGGTGGGACTGAAGAAGGGAGCAGCTGAAAGAAATATAAAATATATATATAAAGATCGTGAACTCAGTCATCTAGGTAAATAACAAAAAAGGTTAAATCGTGTCACCTGGAGCAGTTTCCTTGAGAAACATTTCATCCACATCCAGAGGACTTCCTCAGTCTACGGTATGCCAACCACATTATGGGACAGATCTGGTTGGCAGGCCTGAGGAAGTCCTCTGGATGGTGGATGAAACTGCTCTAGATGACACGATTTAACCTTCTTGTTATATACACAGTTCAACCAAAATGCATTTGCCAAGACGTTTCTCAAAGTGGTTTCTTGAAATCCAGATACCAGCAGTGAACCATCTGCTGACGGGGTGTTCAAATGTTCTGTCTTGTCTCTGAAACAGTAAATTATTAAACCCTGTGCCTGAAGCAGGTTTAATCAGCAGCGTGCAGGCGTGTCATGATGCAACACTTTGACTTGGATCAGGTTTGGTTTAGCAGGAGATCCTACAAAATAAAACTTCATTTGTGAAATGTTTTGCCCAATACACTGTTTTCTTTCATGAATAAGCGAAGACAAAAACTGATTTAAGATGTTTAATAGTACGACTAAATAATAAAATGTATTTTTGTTTTTAAGTGACAACCCACATAACTTTGCTTTAAACATTATTAAACATTTCAAACTAAAATGATCTTAGTGTGAAGAGAGTTTTCTCAAGAAACTATTAAATATTTGAGTTGTTTCTGTCGTACGCTAAAGTAATAGAAGCTGTTATAATAAATCCTCGGAGCGCTTTCTCTGGATTTCCCTGACTGTTTGCTGTATGAAGCATGAAGCCGCTTCCGGCGCGGTGTCACCGCGGCACCGTCCACATGAGACCAGAGGAAGGACCGCGTGGACGACCGGAAGTCAAACGTGCTGGTCTACCTGTTTTAGAGACAGAAAAACAAGAAGTTGGACTCACAGTTAGCTGAGGAGCTGCTGTCTGCAAACCGCTGCCATGTCGAAAATCAACGCCTCCTCCGAGCTGCCGTAATAAACCCGTTACCGTAACGACGGGACTAAAGGCGCAACGACACGCGCCGCCGGTGACCAGCAGGGGGCGCTGCAGGACCACGTTTCTCATTTTAGTTTTCACCGCACCCCACAAAAGTGGTCAAATGGTGTTTTAAAATCAAAGTCATATTAAATCTTTGAAAGAACTGTGCAGAAAATTTTGCAAAAGTAATAAATTAATACTAAAACTCTCATTGCATTTAATAATCAAAGGAACAAAAGCAGCTCTTAATGAAAACTGAGATAAGGTTCAAAAATGTTTCTCGCATCAAGTTTTTTGTTTCACTGTCCAGACGTTTTAATCACGAGAAAATTATGAAAATCTTCATACAGCTACTGCACGAGATATTAAAACGACTCACAACCGCATGATTCTGTTTAAAATAATAACTCGGCCTCTTCATGTCCTCACAAACCTCTACAGATCATTTTCAGTCTTCTCATTTTGTACTAACAGGATTGTACCTTTTGTTTTCTAAATGCTGAATGTGTCATGAATCACGTCCCTGTATTTTGATCTTTATCACTCTGTTCACTAGTTCTGGTTTCTCAGTCCTGTTCTGTTCTTTTCCTCCTCACTCCTTATCTTCTTCTACCTGGTTCTCATGTGTATGTGTGTATGTGGAGAACCAGTCTGTCCACTCTGCATGTTGGTGAAGGCTGACTGCACTAATTGGCTGCACTGCAGTCAGCTGGCCTGATTATCTCAGACTGGCTGCACCTGTTCTCTCCACCCTTTATAAGCAGCACCCTGTCAACTCTTCGGTGCCCGATAGTTGAACACTCTTAGTAGTTAGTAGATATCTCGCGTTCATGCCTGTAGTCCTTGTTTCCCTCTCTTGTCCCTGTTCAAGTCCTCGCTCCTTGTCTTGCCCACCACGCTACCTGTCCCTCTTTCTGGTTGTCCTCCCCTTCTTGTTTGGCCTGATCTCTTGGTTCCTTGACCCTCTGCCTGCCTCGACCACGTCTCTTTGGATTGCCCTTTTGGATTTGTTTCTGCATCTGCTCTTGGTACCGACCCACGCCTGCACGACCACCGATCTGCCTGCTCCTCTGGTACTGCCTGACATCTGCTTCACGTTACTGGACCTTGGAAAGCCTGACCACCCCTTTTGGATCACGGACTCTGGACACGCAGACAGCTGCGGCCGACTGTCGTCCTTCACCGGACTCAGCCCTTCCAGCAGCTGCAGATCTGAACATTTCCAACCTTCAGGACCCTTGAGATCATCTGAGACGAACTGTTCCTGCTATCCAACCAACACCAGAACCCGAACCAGAACCCAGACCGGCACCAGGACCGGCTGTCACTTCCTCCCTTAAAACAATAAACGCATTATTATTTATCGTCTTTCTGTTGTGTTGTGATCTTGGTCCAAACCCTCACGAGAGTTCCTTACAGAATGTTTTAGTTAAATCCTCCATCCAGCCATTTCTTATCTTTGTTCATGCTAAATAATAAACATTCCCTGATTAATTAGGAAACATTAGGTGACAATTTGCACAGATATGTTTAGATAATGTGAGGCAGTTTTAGTTTTAGTAACTGTTCAGTACAACAAACGGGATTTTTGTTGACTTTAAAACCTAAATCACACTGAACATTTTCATTATTAATATAAAGTTATATGACGTTATTTAATAATTAGATTTAATCGCTGCATTCTTTTGTTGCTGAAATTCCTCTTGGAAAAGTCCATTCAAATATTTACCTCTGATTCTTTTCTAGAAATACGAACAGGATGCAATGAAACTTGGACAGATTTATTTTTATCGTAAATGATCTCTTACTGTTCTTTTATGTATTTAGAACCCAATTTATTTTCCAGTTGTTTTCTGTGATGGGGGCTGGGTGATATTCGAGCAGATATTGGGCATAAGACGGGGTGCCAGCCAAAAAACAATGTTTTCTTTTTATAATTCAACACACACAAAAAATGCAAAAATACTGTATTATTCCCAAAGGGAAATTAAATGTTGTTGAAACTAAACTCATTATCCTTGTTTCATTAAAGATGGCTGTAGCAGCTAGTGGAGTTTTCTCGGGGGGGGGGGGGGGGGGGGGCTTTAACTCTAAAATAGACACATACAGACACACACACACACACACACACACACA